TATGTTACTATAGTTTATTTCATGTGTAGAATTCATTACTGAAATAATAATGTGTAGTTTACATATGGGTAACATATGTAATAGTCACTGTAGCATGTTTACACTTATGTTACAGTATGAATTACAGCTCTTCTGTCTAAGTTGTAATATGTAACTATATGTAATATTACATGTAGATTCCATTTCTGTAATAATAATCCTCTTTCGTTAAGTACTGTATTGTGTTTTATACTCTTGAAACTGAGTATGAGTTGTAATTGTCCTTGTTAGCACATGGCACTTTGGTGCTCAGGGCTGACAAACTGTGTGGCATGAGGTAATTGATGTGTGCTAATTAATTCTCAGCTTCCTTGTTATGGAGGAATCCTCAACAAGATCATGAGGAAGGGAAGAAGGAAGAGAAGAAAAATGAAATGGAGGAAAGCAAAGTGGATGGGTATGTACAGTCTCTTTCCCAAGATGGGGGAAGAGATCTGAGTATGAGATTGTCTTGACTATATATATCCCTGTGAGTAACAGCCTGTGTGGCCTTTGTGCTTTCAGACCTGATGGTGCTATTGGTTGTGTTGTCTTCATGCTTTGAGGTGGATTATTTTATCCTCCTCTATATGCCTTTTTCTTTCTTGTATTTCTATGATATTTATCCATTCCTTTCTACCTGTATTTCTTCATCTATTTTTGTTGAGTGAACATTGACAGTCTCCACATATGTTTGTTTGCCTGAAATTTGGGAAGATTCTCAATCTGATACCACTTGGTATGGTATTTATTCATTTATTTTATTTTTTGGATTTGTTTTGTTACTGTGACATAATGACTAAAAGCACCAATTCATGCTGGATCACACCTTGGAAAAGGTTGGGTTCAAAACCTGATTAAAACAAGTTGTGCAGTTGTGTCTTCCAAGTCTGAATCTCCTTCTGAACACTAAAACTTAGCTCAATGGTAGATGATCTTTACCACTTGACTGATATTGATTTGTTGACTTGTGTATACCACCAAGTAACCTTCTTGTGAAAATAGACTTACAAAAAGTTGAAGACAAATAACTATGCAAGAATGTATTAAATTTCTCTGGAACTTAGTTTCAATCTGGTCAAAAATACAAAATTCCTTTTTTGTTCTTTTCTTAGTGTTTGACCTTCTGAGTCAATCTGTCCCTCCTTGTCACACCCCCTGTTTACTGGTCAGCAGAAGGTCAGAGCATGTGGCTGACCTCAAAGCTTTCTCAATTCTCTATCAAATCCTGAATGGGTGGGCAAACTTTATGGACTGCAACGGATCCTCTTGAAATGTTTTAATTTCCAATTATGGTATACACACCCACTCGGAACAAATCCCAGACTCTCAGAACCTTACCCTCCCTTCTGGTATGGTGGAGGTAGGGTTTGCTTGATCCCTTATTTCAAGTACTGTAGATGAAGGGATTAAGTCACTCCCTCTCTCCCACTTTAGTCTTGAGAGAGGCTCAATTTGTTCCGTTCATTTTGGGTTTTATAGAGGGAGGAATTTCCTGAATCCCCCTCTGAATAGTTGATTTGGAAAGAGGCTCTTTCCTCTAGGGAGGCTTTGTCCCTTCAGTAAAGAGGGAGGGGCTTGAGCCTCCCTCCA